CCATGTCCTTTGGTGTGACCACATAGACCCTACTTCTGCCTGGCTGTCCCAGGAGCTGCAGCCTTGGGTTCAAGATCATTTAGAGACAAGGAATAACTTGTGTCCTCGTGTTCTCCAGATGGTCTTAGCCTGTATCCCCTTATTACAGAGGAAGAGAAGAGGCAGATGCAATAGGGGATCCTGGGAAAAGGCAGCTTGTAGGGGTGTGTGGGGGGCTTGCTGGCCTCTTGCTTGGCCTAGTGTTTCTCATCCTTTCTCACCCCATGAAGGGCTGACAGTGGACTTTGACCAATACAATGAACTGCACCTGCCAGCAGTCATCCTCAAGACCTTCCTTCGGGAACTTCCTGAGCCCTTGCTAACCTTTGACCTCTACCCCCACGTCGTGGGCTTCCTCAGTGAGTTCTCTTTCCTCCCCAACTATGCAAATCCTCTGCCATACATCTACCCACCCTGCCCTGCAGGCTTGTACATAAGCTGCTCCCTGGAAGTTCAGGTGGGGTTCCCCACTAGTCTCCTATTGGGCTTCCTGAGCTAGTCCTATGTCTCTGTAACCTGGACCTCCACTCTTCACAGATATTGACGAAAACCAGAGGGTGGAGGTGACGCAGCAGGTTCTCCAAACTTTGCCAGAGGAGAACTACCAGGTGCTTCGTTTCCTGACTGCCTTCCTGGTGCAGGTGAGACTTATCTTGACCTCCACTGCTCACCTATTGAAGGGAGAGGGTGGTTTGTCATTGCTTAGATGCTCTGGATGTGGTTGCTAGGAGTAAGAGGCAGGGGGTCATAGAGTCTAGCTGTAGTCTCCATTTCCTTCCACAGATATCTGCCCACTGTGACCAGAACAAGATGACCAACACTAACCTGGCTGTAGTCTTTGGCCCTAACCTGCTGTGGGCCAAGGACGCTGCCATTACTCTCAAGGCCATTAATCCCATCAACACCTTCACTAAGTTCCTCCTGGATCATCAAGGGGAGTTGTTCCCCAGCACAGATGTCCAGGGCGTCTGAGCTCAGCCCCCCCCACCTCCAGCCCCTTCTCTGGCAGCCTCAGTTGGACTTGTCCTCCTGGTATTAACCTTATTAGAGTCCAGGGCTCCTGCCTAGGAAGGGGCCCTGAAGCCCCAGAAGATGGAAGTTGGAGCCCACAACTGGGCAACTCCTCCTCTCCCTCTGTCTAGCCCTGGAGGCCTCTGTTATTGTAAGACATTTTCTTTGCCTTATACCTCTCACTGCCTCTTTGGTTGCTGGGCCTTCCAGAACTGGGCTTGGCTCTCCTAGGATTGAACCCCAGTAACCCTTTTCCTCTTTCCTGCCTGTTTCCCTGGCAACTGTAGAAGACTAAATCACTGCCAGCTGTGCTGGTATTGGGGGCTGGTCCTCTCTTTCCTGATTGCTAGGAAATGGGACAGCTGAGCTCCTTGGCTTGCACTGACTGTGCTGGGTACCTCCCTTTCTGGTCAGTTGCTGTGCTTTTTAGGAGTGTTGGCCTGGGTGCAGGTTCTCTATGCCTGCCCTTCCTGCTAATAGGGATGACGAGACCAGAGTTGGCTTGTCACTTCTGCCTTCCCGAGTGGTACTGCCCCCAGTGTGTCCTATTCCCCCATTGCTGCCACACTTGGCATCTTGGCTAACAAGACTCAGAATCTGAACATCTGCTAAAATGGTCCTCTCACTCCCAGGGAGAGCCCTAGTGTCAGGAATATCAGCAACGGCAGTCTTGGCCCTCCATGCCTTCTCTTTGTTCTCAAGTGCACAGAGCCTCAGCCAATGGCTGGGATGCATCTTTTTGGTGTGGAGTCTGTCCCTGTGGTGACCAGAGGTGCCAGTGCTTCAGGATCCACTGTGGCTCAGAAGCCCCTAAGAGAGGCATAAGTTTTACTAAAGTCACCCTGTCAGGAAAGTTATAGCAACTCCCTTGAGGGAGTATGATGGCCACAGGGCCCTGTTGTCTTTCAGAAAGCCTGAGCCCCAGTGATGATTGATAGCTTTCATTCTACTCCTAATGAAAACTTGTGACTCTCTTCCAGAAGTCTGCCCCTTAGTGATAGGGAATTACCCGCAGTGATCCTGCCCCCCAGGTGTGGCCAGGCACGACAGCTCCAGAGATGGTACTGGGTACTGTGGGATCTGCACTGACCATCCTGCAGACGCAGCAGGCCTGACCTCATTGGCTTTTTCCTGCACCGGGTCAGGCCCGTTGTGCCTGAAGGCTGCTTCTGTCAGTCCAGGCCTCGTGCCATTCTGCTTCCTCCCACCTTTTGTATCAAGTGTGCTACACTTCATTTACTGAGGAGCCTTTGGACCTCACTAGTCCTCCGTCTGCCCCTGCCTTTTCAGCCCGTAGCTGGGGCGTTCTTACTGTGAATCCAGGGTTCACATTTACCATGATTTCCTTGGCACCAATCATGTATTTCACCATTTGCACTTTTTTGTATTTCAATAAACAAATAAAAATGGAAGTGGAAAATGTACATCTGGCTGTATAGGAAGTAAGGCCCCGAAGTCAGAACTTTGTGTGTGTGTGTGTGGCTGAGAAAGAGGGCCTCAGGAAGTTCCCTCTTCAGTCCATCTTAATTCTCCTGGGGAAATATAAACAAAGTCCAAAGAAAAATAATTCCCCAAGCAGCTGTATCAGAGCCTCACCCCAGCAAGGGAAACTGTATAGATGGGACCCTTTCTCCAGTCAATCTTCCACTTCTATTTACTTAAGTCTAGTACCTTCCAAGATTACATGCAACTGAGACAGAACTTAAATAGTGAACAGTGAGCAGATGTAGGTTTTCAGAGAAGGTTTAATGACCCTACCTACTCCCTCTTACTGTGACCCTCTACTTTAAAAGACCCCCAACTTTTTACTATTTTTATTGTTTTTTTTTTGTTGTTGTTTTTGTTTTTTTCGAGTCAGGGTTTCTCTGTGGCTTTGGAGGCTGTCCTGGAACTCCCTTGGTAGTCCAGGCTGGTCTCGAACTTACAGAGATCCACCTGCCTCTGCCTCCCGAGTGCTGGGATTAAAGGCGTGCGCCACCAACGCCCGGCGTGAATTGTTTTTTTTCCTTCCCCCTTTTATGTAGATCCTCCTGTGTAGTAAACACTTCAGTTGAGACATCTCTCTAACCCTAAGGTTCTACTGTGTTAAAGGGCTCATGTATGCAGTAACAGCTGCTCTGATTAAATAGTAAGGGCTGGGAGCTAGAGGGCTGTTGAGAGCACTTGGTGCTCTTCCAAAGGACCTGGGTTCAATCTCCAGCACACTCACATTCTACAGACATATATCCATACATATCTATTTCATTAAAAAAAGATAATTCGATTATGCCTGGAAGACAGTGCTCCATTCTATTTGTACCAGCAGCATTCCAACTGGTTACCTTAAGTTATATCATAGGGCAAGGGTCTCCTCTCCTAGCTGATTGTGTGAGGGAAACTTAAAAGGGAGAACTAGAGTGAACAACATTGGTCATTGGGATGGATTTTACAATTATATTAGGGCTTGAATTTTTTAGGGGGCTTGAGACAGGGTTTCTCTGTGTAGCTTTAGAGCCTGTCCTGGCACTCGATCTGTACACCAGGCTAGCCTTGAATTCAGGAACTGCCTGCATCTGCCTCCCAAGTGCTGGGATTAAAGGCGTGCACCACCACTGCCTAGCTCACACTTGTCTTTCATGTGTGTTTTTGACAATGGCTTGCAACTGGGAGGACAGAATTGTACCTGTCACGGTTTTTGAGGGCAGGTTCTAGATGTCTGCCTATGAGGTTATGGTGGCGCAAGGATAGTCCTGCTTTTCCTATTGGGCAGGCAGCCCAGCCAGAATTGCTGGTTCTAACAGTGTTAAGATGGTGGTTATAAACACTTAAGCTTCAAGGAAGCAGCTTCAGTGCACAGCTGTGGCCTTGATCCAGGTGCCTTGAGACGAAAGACTTTAGCAGTTTCCTTTCTTGCTAGCTCGGCTCAGCTGTAAGGTGGGTGACACTGTTTGGAACCTTAAGGCGGTGAGCTAGGGAAACAGCAGGGCCAGAGACAGCGAAAGCTATTTATTTGGGTTGGGCTCCTGGCAGGGCCGTGCAGTTACTAAGGTGCTTGCTAAACAAAACTTTAGCAACAGCAGGTCTCTCAGGTACAGGGTGTTTTAAGAATGAGACACATTGCTGTCATGGAGCAGCTGAGCACTATTTTTGGAGACTCTAGCCAAAGGTGGCTCAGCAAGGATGTTGTTTCTGACCCAGAGCTGGACAGCTGTGTTCTCATGTTATAGCCTATATCAGATGTAATTTACAAAGGCACCCAGGCTTTTACTGGCAGAGTGAGCTGACTCCATTCTCTTCAGCCCTACTCTTGGACTAACTTAGAATTTCCTGATGGTCCCATTCTTGTCCTTGGGCCTGACTTGACTCTGGGGTGCATACAGCAATTATCTAATTCACTTTTGCATCTAGAACCATCTGTACATGGGCTCTACTTTCAACTCTGCAATGTGCACTAGGAGGTAGTTGCTGGTTCTATAAGACATTTGAAGACTGTAGTCACAGCTGGGCCGAATGAGTGGGTGAGGCCTAACCCTTGTTGCAATCTGTCAGATGGAGTAGTTGAACGTGCACAGGTCATTGACGTCCCCCACCCCCACTCCTCATTTGCTCAGACACAACCCCTTTCACTCTATCAGCCACCACTTCTTGTTGCATGTCTCTCTCCATGGCTATTCTATGTCCTGCAGGTATGGTGGTGATAACAGCCCACCCTTAAAGATTTTACAAGGGTTTTTCATGCACTTTGTGTCACTGAATATTCAAGCACATGGCCCTAGGGATACAAGGCTCTAGGGAGCCAAGTCTGTTAGGTACTTGGCCAAGCTCCAAGACTCAAAGCAGCCATGACAGACTCAAGGCTTTCTGAAATTCAGGCTCCACCCTTCCCTTCTTATGGAACCTGATGGTGGCCCAGCGCTACAGAGAGGTGAGAATGGCCGACTGGTTGTTTAGACATTTGGAATAGGAAACTGTAAAGTACAGAAAACTTTTATTGGAAATCTCTTGATTATATTTCCAACCTCTCATTTCCCAACAAAGCACGGAAGGGGCCTCATAGCTACCTGGTCCCAGCCCAAGTCTGGCTGCAGGAGTTGGTCTAGAGACTACCTTTTCCATTATGCAGAGCTGAAGAGTACAGGTCACCCTGAAGGATGCTCTGCTCAGCTTCCCTGGTCTCTTCTCTGACAGGTCTGGGACACAAAGGCTGATGCCTACAGAGGCCACTAGCTGAGCCATGCCAAAAAGCCATGTTCTCACTCCACTCAGTGCTGGCTCTGGGAGCAAATCTGCCTGATCCAAAGGCTGCAGTGTCATGTGGCTACCATTGCTGAGCACATTTCTCTGTGGCAGCAGACGCATACACAGGGGAAAGGCTCCAGTGTAACATGCAGATTACTAGCACGCAGTTGTGAGCCACCTGCTCCAATGAACAATAGCTGTTGCCAGTGAAAATCAGGGACCAGAAGAACAGGGCAGGCTGGCAGAGGCACTTGACTTATTACTCAAGCAACAATACCTGAAGGTTTAAGTCAACCACAAGCTCAGCTTTGGTTTCTTAAAAGGGAACCAATCCAGATTGTAAACCCAGGGCCATATACAGACTCTGGAATTGGGGGTAGGGGTGGGGAATAGCTCCTCAGTCCTGCTCTGGTCTCAGGGACTCGAACAGGACAGACAATGCTCCCTTGGGCACCATGTGTCTTGAGGAGTCATCACATTGAACATAGCTGAGATTTCCTGGGCAGCTAGAATAGAGCCAGTCAAGATGCTTGTGACAAGAGAAGATGCACTCAGTGTGTAAAGGAACCCTGATGTCAGTACAGTTCCACAGGCACAGCTTGAGGGGGTACTCTGCCCTTGCTAGCCCCATTCCTGATCTCTCCTTAGATGCAAGAGTAGATCCCCAGAGCAGCAGCACAAGTTCTGAGGAATCTTCACAGGAGGACCTCCTCCTTCCCCAGTGACACTGCTAACTCCCAAAATATCTGATTTCTCTGAAAGTAATAAATATTTACCACGTCCTATATCCAAGCAGCAGCAATTGAGAGGATGGGGAGGAAAGAACCTTTCTGTGACTTTCATGAGGAAAGACGGAGGGATAGGAGGGGGAGGAGGAGGGGAGAAAAGGGTGGTCCAGGAACTATTGGTGACACAGCCCTCCTTTGCCCTGCTTGGTTTCCTTGCTCTTTCTGCCTTGCCCAGTGTCCCGGCCACCAGCTGGAATGTCAGGTGGTTGATGGTAGGGACAAGCAGGCAGGGGTCAGCTGCAGAGCAGATCAGGCAGGAGGCTGGAGCCGACAGAACAGGATGACACCCTTTGTGAAGCAGCTGAGGATGGTCCCTGCTGAAGCTCCTCTGTTACGCCAGAGTCTGCCCAACGTCTGGCACTGGGCCTGACTGCTACCAGGAGGTCCAAAAGCAGGGACTTGTAGGTCCCACAGGGAACCACCCTGCCTTTCACCTGGCCAAAAACACAGGAAGGCAGCAGGGAGCTGCTGAGGAGGAGGAATTCTCTGCTGGGTCCACAGGAAGGGGATGCTGCAGATGGATACTCAGGACACTTTTACTGCAGGGTTTCGACAAAGGCATCAAATTCTCGGACATTCTTCTCATGCACAGCCAGCTTCTCTGGTAAGGAGTCCTGTAGCAAGGACAGGAGAGAGCTTACTCCAGAAGGCCTGGGAGAGGCAGCCAGTCTGCCAGTGTGGAAAAAGCGAGACAACTGGGCAGTGCCAGGCTGGCTGAAAGGCAGGGCAGTTGAGCAGACTTTGGGACGAAGGAGGAGACATGTCCTCCAAGTTTTGGAGGGGTGTCACTAGGCTGCACAGTAGCCTGATGAATCAAAGTGAACCACAGCTCACAAGACAGGTAAACAACGACAAAAAACATGACAGTAAAAAACATGAAATATCCTTTGTACAGAGCAGACACTAGAATCAAATTGCATCTTTAGAGCTCAGTGAACTGAGGAATTTTTTTTTTTTTTTTTTTTGGTTTTCGAGACAGGGTTTCTCTGTGGCTTTGGAGGCTGTCCTGGAACTCACTTTGTAGACCAGGCTGGCCTCGAACTCACAGAGATCCGCCTGCCTCTGCCTCCCGAGTGCTGGGATTAAAGACGTGCGCCACCAACGCTCGGCTTTCTCTCTCTCTCTCTCTTTTTTTTTTTTTTTTGGTCTGAGGAAGTTTTAAAAGGGAACCCTCCTGTACTTTGTGGGAGTCAAAAGGCCTTGGGAAAACAGGGACAAGGCAGCCACTGTACTTTTAAGTCTGACACAGGTCGGTGGGAGGTTGGACACCTGCATCTTTGGACTGGCTGGGGGTGTGGGGTGGCTGAAAGTCATTACAAAAGAATCAGGAAGACAACCATATGCTGCCAGCTTGTCCTGCAGTGCCATAGAGACCTGGTCCTCCATCAGAGCTAAGCAACACAAACTACACCAGAAGGCTTTAAACTGAAGAGAGACCTTCACAATGCACAAGGGGCCTGGGGAAAGTTGGTGTGATAGACACTGAAGTGGTTTGGACACCCTAACAACTGAGGCAAGTCTGGTGGCCACTGTCCAGGTAGAAGGCAAGCCTCAGCTAGCACTGGCTAAGGGATCACAAGTAGAACTCTTGGATCTCATTTCCTTCTGAGTACATGCCAGTGATCAGAGGGCTAAGCTCAGGCGCTTCCCACTTTGGGATCAAAACTTGGACTGTTCCCTTCTGTATGGGACAGCATGAAAACCCATTTTATAAGATTCTTGCTAAAGCACTTAGTTTTAGCTATGTTTTGAAGAATGGGGTAGGTGTGGGTGTGCAGCTCAGTGTAGAGCACTTGCCTTACATGGGGGAGGGAGTGAGCGAGAGAATGTGTGTGTGCTAGTTTAGTGTTTAGACAGCCCCATTTAATACTTAGGGCCAGGGATGGAAGCACACACCTTTAATCTCAGCAACGGCAGGAGAACAGCTGAGTCTGAGGCCAGCCTGGTTTACACAGTGAGTTTCAGAACAGCAAGGGCTACATAAACTAGCAAAAAAAAAAAAAAAAAACAAAAAAAAAAAAACCACAAATAAAACTTAGTTTACTAGTTTTCTTCCTGCACTGTTATTCTTGGGCACACTTTCCTGATAAAGCAAACTAAGAGTAGCACTTCCTGGGGCCCAAGATTTCTGCTGGGGACGCAGTGCTACCTCAGACAGTAAGACCTTATCACGTCGTAGCATGAGTGCCCCAAGTCTATGGTTTGCTTGGGGCAGTCTTCTGCTTGGAATGCTTTAAGCACAAATGTGGTGATCACAGTCTATCTCAGTACATCTGGCCCAGAAATTAAGAAGGGCTGGATGCAGAATGAAGCCCTCCAAGAAAGACAAGAACACTGGCCCTTACTCAGGACCTATGTGTTCCTTTGGCAGTGAACAGCAGGCCCAGCACTGTGAGCCCCACCGAGAAAATGCAGAAAAAGGCCAGTGAGATGGCTTCATGAGTAAAAGCACTTATTGTGCAACCCTAACATGTGTTTGGTCCTTGGAATCCAGATAAAGGCAGAAGGGGAGAGCAACTTTACACAATAGTCCTCTGATCTTTTTTTTTTTTTTTTTTGGTTTTTCGAGACAGGGTTTCTCTGTGGCTTTGGAGGCTGTCCTGGAACTCACTCTGTAGACCAGGCTGGCCTCGAACTCACAGAGATCCGCCTGCCTCTGCCTCCCGAGTGCTGGGATTAAAGGCGAGCGCCACCAACGCCCGGCTATTAGTCCTCTGATCTTGAATGGCACAAATATGCTGTGGTATGAATATGACCCCTTCTTGCCACATCCTATGCCAAGCACACAGTAAGTAAACATTTTTAAAGTGCTGTAAAAAAGAAAACCGAGTCAAGGCAATTCAAGACAACTGCCAGGCACCATGTATATGCCAAGTGGGACCAAAAGTGACCAACAGCTAACATACTTCTTTTCAGCAAAGACGGAAGGCAAAGGAGCAGGATGGAGTAACAGGAAGAAAGTTCTAGGCCTGTGGCACACGAATGGCCACCATGAGGATAGGAGGCAAGAGGAAGAGCTCTGGGAGGGAAGGAGTTTCCATACCAAGTCTTCCGCCATAGACTGGGCTCCAATGTCTATGGAGAGGCTGCTCAGCTGAGGTGGATTCTGAAACTCACGGTAGAAGGTCCCCAAGTCCATCGGAAGAATATCATCTTTAGAAAAAGCGGGTTTCTTTAAAAACAACACAAACTCAAGTTAGTTCATCTTTGGACCATGAAGAAAAATCAAAACAAGACTCTTTCGTTTCAGGAATTAGCTAAGAAAAGTGTTTTCTAGACTCATCTAAGGGAGAACATCAGTCCTTGTACCTTGCTTGTCTGGCCTATACTCTAGCCTGATGATGGCATTCCTTTTAACCTTCCCTTCCAACACCTCCTAAGCAAAGGGCTTTTGGGAAACCCCACACACACCCAATTTCAACTAAAGACACGACACTAAAAGCCTTGCTGTTCACAGGACTCCAAATGTCTCCCCAGAGTACCCTTGCAGCCTGTGCACCACCCCATCTGAAATGAAAATCTGTTCACAGGCAGCTGATGTTTCTAGGTTTACTTTCCAGAGAACAGCAAAGATCAAGGGTAGTGACTGTAACTTACAAAGTCAATCATAACAAAGTCGTCATGTGTATTGCCACTGCTGCCACCGCTGGAGCCATTTGAGTGCAGGCTGCCGTGGAGGGGAGACGTGGTCTCTGGGGAGTCCGGGGGATTCACCTAATTCAGAATAAGGCAAGTCAATGCAGACTCTGTGAGTAGGATATGGATTACTGTGAGCTGTCTCACAGTTATGGCAGAAACATACAGCCACACTGGGCATGGAAATGCATGCCTGTAATCCCAGAACTCAGGAGGCCAAGGCTGAGGCAAGAGAACTTCAAGTTGGAGATTTTGATGGGTTACACAAAGTTCCAGGCCAGCTTTGGCTTTGTAGCAAGCCCCTGTCTCAAAACAAATGGGGGGGGGGACAATGCTGGCTGCAAATCCATAAGCCAAGGAGCCTGGCTTAAGTCCTATGGAGGACTTAGTGACTGCCTGGGGAGGATGACCACTGTAGCAGCTACTGGAAACTGGTAGGCACTTGGTAGGCTCACCATAGGATCAGCATCCTCCAGCTCCAAATTCTTGGGAGCAAACATGGCAAAGGGTATGTCCAAACTTGTCAGGGTCACCTGAAGAGATAAAGGAGAGAAGTGTTCCTGCCTGACTTCCCCTAGCATACTTATTTCTAACAGGCTGACAGCAGCCTGGAGATCCAACAGCTTTCCACAGCTAGGCCAATCATGCTGCGCTGACCTCTTTGCCTCCCTGTCTCCAACCAAATACATTCACAGCAGAGGACTAGAGGAATATGGTTGGGAATGCTTAGACATAGTAAATGAGGCACAGCGAGTCCCAGGGTCCACTGGTTATTGATCCTCTTCAAAGGAAAGCTAGCACACACAAATTTTGCAAGCAATTTCAGCAGTCCCATAGGACACTGGTGCAGGGGACCTTACTCTAAGAACACAGACATCCACTGGAGCAGTGGCAGAAAAATCACCTGGTTGATGGGTTTGTTGACAAATGCTCCCACTTTTCGGACAAAGATAGTCTCCAAGACGTCATGGGGTGAGGCCCGTCCCTCACTGCTGTTAGATACAGTCTCAGTGTCCTCACTAAAAGAAAGAGAAAGTTTCAAACCACGGAACAACTCTAGTCACTGAGTCCACCTTCCTGTGAAGCTGGAGCCTGGGCAAGAAGTCCAGATGTTACCACTGCCTGCTTTTTGGCTTGGGTAGACTTGCTGGACCAACTAAAATGTCCACATATGTGAATGAGATGTCACACTGTAATGGTGTGAGTTCATAAAATCCTATCAGAAATGTCAAGGACAACCACACATGGCAGCCAGACACAGTAAGCAGCTCTCACAAAGCTGCAGGTTAGTATTCACCTCACATTTTAGCCCCCTTTTAAAATTAATTATTAAAAATTTTTTATGTGTATTTATGTGTGTTATACCTGCATGTACGTCTGTGTGAGGGTGTCAGATCTTGGAGTTACAGACAGTTGTGAACTTCCATGTGGGTGCTGAGAATTGAACCGGGGTCCTCTGGAAAAGCAGTCAGTGATCTTAACCACTGAGCCATCTTTCCAGTCTCTTTAGCACGCCTCCATCAGTCTGATGAACTAAAACTACCATAAGACCCTATGGATTAAAGCTGGGCTTTGTGGTACATGCTTTTAATCCCAGCACCGAGAAGGCTTCTGAGTTCATACGACCTGACTCTCAGAGCCCTCACTATTCAGCGTCCACAATCTTCAGCTTTACCCATTATGGGGAGGAGCCCAGGGTCAGAAAACAGGGCCACTAAGTGACTAATAGATCTTCCTTTGATCATGTGATTGGGGATGGGGGAGAAACAGGATCAACATTTGAAAAGACAGGAAAAGAATAAGTTATTTTCCAAAGATTTCTACTCCCACCACTCCACTGTGCCAATGAAAAAGTACGTCAGGAATTTCTCTACTGAGAAAGTTTTTTGGTGGAGGAACATGCCAAACACATGCGCACACACAATGTAAAAATAACTTAAGAAAGCCCTGCAATTTCCTCTCAGCAGCTAAGACCCAGAGAGCTTCCTCATATACTAGCTGCAATATTAGACTCTTATCAGAGACCTCTAAGGCTTTCCCCTTGGGAGTCTGTGTATCAGGGTATTCAGGTTCCTGGATGGCCTTAGCAATGGCAGAGCCATAATGGAAACTTACCTGCTAGAGGGTGTGGCAGCGCAGTGGATCCCATCAGAAGGTGTGTGAGTCACCACTCTCTCCTGATCCGCCTGGGTGCCTTGAGCAGGCTGGTTGGGAACAAGAGGTACTCCACCTTCCTTCCCAGGAACCATCAGCTTTGGAGGGAACGGAAAGACAAAATGAACTAGAGCAGTGCCACGAAGTAGGTGAACCTCATAAGCTTTTTCATCATCAATGCCTCTACCAGGTGGGCAGCCATCTTGGACCTTAATTCTCTTGGGATATGGCTACTGGAAGACATTTGTGGTCATGACTACAGAGGGAGAAGGGAAGAGAGAGAGAAACCCTGGCAAGGTCTTTCTTTCCCTTCTGAGATCAGAGGATCCACCTCCTCAGAAAGTCATGTTAGTTGCCCATAAGGAAGGGAGGCAGCCCTGAGAAGCCCGTGATCCTCCCCGCCCTGAAAGGTACCTGGTGAGTGTGTGTAGTGTTTAAGCCAGCAGTAAACACTACTGGATAAGCCAGGTCAGCCGATCCAAGGCCCAGGACAGCAGGCTGATAGGAAAGGCGAGAGCTTGAGAGCTGAGCAAGAGAAAAACAAGGCAGAGGAAAGGCAGGGAGAAAAGGGAACCTAGCATGTGACTCAGGCTGGAACTCAGCCGAAAGGCAGGAGCAGATCCCAGTGGACCGAGGGGCAAGGGTGGGCCAGGCCTTTTTCTTTAAGAAAACAGAGACTTGTTTGATCTGGGATTAGCTCTAGAGCCTCCCAAAGGCCTCCACTGAGTGCTTGGCTCCTTAGTTTCCTATTTTTTTCCAGCTCAGTAGATCTCCTGGGCACAATCCTGAGCTGAATCTCCCATATCATCCTATTTTCTCCTTTGTCCTTGAGATCCCTTTGAAACTAAAACTATCTTCTCCAATCACACCTCTATCGCCCCAGGGATGGACGGCTCCTATTTATATTGAAAAGAGAAAGATTACCAGTCATGGACTGTTTATTTGGAAACCTGATATAAATAGCTCCATGTATTTTTCACATAAAGGAGGAGGGGCAAATAAAAACCACTATTTTGGGTTGCTGGGCTGTGGCTGTATCCTATTCAAATCAATTACCAAGACTTAAAATAATCCCACAGAACAGTTGAAGACCAAATAACTATACTCTGTACTCCTTTTTTTTTCTTTTACGTAGAAAGAAGCCATCTGATCATATCCCCTTCTTCCCATTATGAACTCACTTGATGGGAAAAGGCCAGTCCTGCCATAGGGACCCTCAGAGTGTCCGTCACCACAGGAGTAGGGGTCTGAAAATGTGCCTTTGTGACAGTAAACACACACTGTGCACAGACACACAGAGAGACAGGAGAAACAAGAAAAAAAGAAAAGGGACTTGAGAAAAAAGTGGGAAAAAACCTCCAGAAGGGGCAGCAGTGAGAGGCTGGACAGAGAGTGGCGACTCAGGAGACAGGCAGGGACAGGCATGCTGGCTTCCCAAAGCAGCAACCAGGAGGGTGCTTAGACGTGACATGTATCTCAGGGCATGCCCTGCAAGCCTGTCTCCTTGACAGGCAGCTGGAAAATGCACTGACTCAAGTGGGAATGACATGGCAAAACAGAAACCCAAACCAAGCATTAGTCTGTCGTCATCTGGAAAGGTGTGGGAGGAAGTGAGGGAACAGCTCTAACTGGGGAGGGCCTGGAGCAGAATGGAGGTCAACTTCAGAACTGAGGACACTGGCTTAATCAGGAAACCCTCAGCCAGCAGGACAGGCTTTTCTCCCCCCCTTTTTCGAGACAGGGTTTCTCTGTATTGTTTGGAGGCTGTCCTGGAAATTGCTCTGTAGACCAGGCTGGCCTCGATCTCACAGAGGTCCGCCTGCCTATGCCTCTGCCTCCCAAGTGCTGGTCTACCACCGCCCAAGGGACAGGTTTTTTTGTAATGTATGTATTATGCATACAATGCTCTGCCTGCATGTATACTTATACACCAGAAGAGGGCACCATTCATTACAGATGCTTGTGAGCCACCATGTGGTTGCTGGGAATTGAACTCAGGACCTCTGGAGGAGCAGCCAGTAACCTCTGAGTCATCTCTCCAGCCTGGGACAGGCTTAAAGAGCTAAAATTTGTTGGCCAGATTGTTAGCATGCTCAGGTGCACACTTTCGTATGTCATCCCTGAAGTGATTGTGAGTGCAGTTTGTGTGTATTCAGATAGTCTTGCAGTTGGGAGAATTTGAGAATAAAAGCTTGGGCCTTCTCAACATTCGAAGGCAGCCTGGTCTACATAGTGTGTTTTATGTCAGCCAAGAATAAACAAAGTCACCATTTCAAAAACAAAAACCTGAAGTCCAAGTGGAAGAGGAAAAGGCAATGAGGAGTTTGGGGGATAATTAAGTGTCCATGAAATCCAGTCAGAGGAGATTATGACTGCTTGCCATGGTCTCAATCCATGCCTATTAAACCAGATGGAGGCGATGCATCCTCTGAGGATGCTGGCATCAGAGTGCATTACTGAAACTGGGTTTGCCACTCTAGACTCACTAATGAGGGAAGTTAATGGCTGAAATGCTTGGACAGAGAATGTGGACAGGCAGATGGAGAGCTGTGTCAGCCACTAAGTAAAGCAGTGCTGCCAGGTGCGGTGGCACACACCTCTAGTCCCAGCACTTGGGAGGTAGAGGCAGAAGCAGGTGGACCCATGTTGACAGAGTGAGTCCCAGGACAGCCAAAGCAACACAGAGAAACCCTGTTTTTAAAGACCCTCCCCCGAAAGGAACAACTAAGTCAACACCTGCAGGTTGAGTGCTTGTCTGGTGTCAGAATGCGGTAGAGTTCTGTGACTGAGGCTTAGGGATCTGAGGATGACAGCAGAATGGTTAGCCTGGGAACAAGCAATCTTACTGCTGAGAAGGCTCTCAGTTACTCCTCAAAATAACCACAATCACCAAAGGGGTTGTAGCTAAATATGGACAACATTCCCTAAAGCCCACAGGAATACACACAACAGCCCACAACCCTTTCCCTACCTGGGAGGGAGGGGAGGTGGAAAAAGAGGTGGTACACACTTCCTGAGAGTCCTCCACTGACGGGTATGTGACTCCAGCATCCTCGCCAGTTCTGTAGCGGAGGAGGAAGGACAATGAATTTTATCATGATGGTAGCCAACTCCAGAAAGTATACAAACAGTGGTTAGAAAAGGCCTACAGTTGTGTCAAGTTTTAGGCAGAGTTCATAAGGCCAAATGGCAACCCGAAAACCATTTTTCTTTTTTTTTTTATTTTATAAGTATACAGTGTTCTGCCTGTACGCCAGAAGAGGGCACCAGATCTTGTTCCAGATGGTTGTGAACCACCATGTGGTTGCTTGGAATTGAACTCAGGACCTCTGGAACAGCAGCCAGTGCCCTTAACCTCTGAGCCATCTCTCAAGCCCCCCCCCCCCCCCCCCCGAAAACCATTTTTCATAATTCACAAATTACTGGTATTTATGTAGTCTCCAAATAACTTGCTATGAGAGAAAGTGACATCACAGCCTTGATCCTAAACACTCAGTAAGCTCCTGAGACACTGGCTCAAGCCTTGGTGTACCAAATTGGCAATAGCAAGAAAAGAACTAGCCTTTTCATTTCTACCCACATGGCCAGTGGATGTTTTGCTTAGCTGCCACTTGGGGGAGCATCTCCCAGTCCTTACCTGTAATTGCAGGGGTGCATGGGAGAGGAGCTGGGATAGGGACGGTCAACAAAGTGATCAATGATAATCCCCATGATAGGTGGGGTCCTCTCAAACTGCCTGTAATGCAATAAGCACATTGCAGTATTTGTTAGAATTTCTTCCCAGTCACCTTCAAGTCTACAGAGGGCCCCTCACTTCATAGCTACAGCAGGTCTACCAGAGCCTTAACAGTGCAGCCTCTAAATATAAACCACAGACTCTATTTCTGGACAGGTTGGCTTGGGGACACTTGAAATCTCCAAGTGTGACAGTGACGCTCTCTCACTCTCAATTGCACTTTTCTGGAAAGGGTGGCTTTTAGTAATGTGAACTGTAGTTGTAGTCTTGGAGCTTTGGTTGGGGAAGCAGAAGCTTTCATATCGTTGGGCTACAGCTCTTATGGACTCCAAGCCTCTTCCTCACCTGGTAGACATGAATGCCAAATTAATTCTATAAGCACAGGAAAGAGTGATTGTGCCAACAGGGGTGCCCACTGTTCCAACTCGAACTGTCTGGAAGCCTAGAAGAGAGAAAATATCAGCTCTTTTCCCAGACGATGCTGACACAACCCCGAGCCATGCCCAGGGGCGGTAGTACATGCCTTTAATCCCAGCACTCAGGAGGCAGAGGCAGGCAGATCTCTGTGAATTTGAGGCCAGCCTGGTCTACAGAGCAGTTCCAGGACAGCTAGGGCTATTTCTTTGAAAAAAAAAAAAACCCAACCAAACAACAACAACAACAACAAAAACCAAAACCAAGCAAGCAAACAAAACCAACCAACCAAAAATACCACAAGTCAAAAAACCCAATTCAAACCAAAAGGCAAAAGAGAAACAACCACAAAAGGTCTGGGTAGGGAGTTCAAAAGTACACAGCTTAATTATCATGAAGAGGGAGAAGGGAGACAGAGGAGAGGGAGAAAACCCAAGCAATGAATTCCTGCAGGAACTTCTGAAAAATTATTCTGTCAACCCTCGTAGCTCCTTTGACAACTGACCAGGCTCCTTAACCTTTTCCTTACTGTATTATACATTTTGAAGCTATGGTATGTTTATACAAGGTTAGTCATGAATCTAAGTAGCAACTGAGTTCATCTTTCAAGTTAGTACAGCTCTTAGCATTACAAATGTTTCTGGCCCGAATACATACATACCTTCTCCTAAACCATTCAGTTGAACTTCACCAAAATAAATCCTGAAGGGAAGAAAGAAAAATAAATGACAGCCCATTCTCCATAAAGACTATGTCTAAAATGCCGAGAAACAGCCGAAGCATGCCCGCTTCCCTTATCTGCATGGACACTTTTCTTCAGTTGAGCCTCGGGCATGAACACCATATGGTGATGGCTAAGGAAGAGATGAGGAGATGGGCTGAGATGGCAGACATCCGCAGCACCTCCACAAACACCCAAGCTTGTGCAGCAAGTCCTTTACCTGATAAACCCTCTCATCTGCCTTTAAGTTCTTTCTTGAAGTGTTTTTGGTCGCAACAAGAAAAGTAACTGACACAATAAGAAATGAGTGAAGAATAGAAAGAAATCTATTATAGTCAAATGAGAGTCTAGGAATTTTCAACACTCAACCTGGCATCTGAGACAAAAAGACATAGGTTGTTAGGGTATTGTTAAGAGAATTAAGGATGGCCAGGCGGTGGTGGCACACGCCTTTAATCCCAGCACTCAGGAGGCAGAGGCAGGCAGATTTCGAGGCTGGGCTGGACCGACAGCCTCCAAAACAAAACAGAGAAACCCTTTCTCGTAAAAACCAAAAAAAAAAAAAAAAAAAAAAAAAAAAAGTTAAGGATGACTTTGCAAATATTCTCTGTCTAGGATCATTTCAGTATAACTGCCAAGTCTCTTCAATCCCTCCACACTAATATGCTAGTTCTACAAGTCAGCACTACATTCGACAAAGGCTAAACCAGCAGCTAATGTGCAACACAAAACATTCTTGGATGATTCAGGAGCTCTGACTCATACTTTAATCTCCCAGACTCCTCCCTTCAAGCCCATTATGCAAAATAAAATGACGACTGCTCTGATACCACACCTACCCACCTTTGCCTGGTCAGCTACTGTCCCCTCTATGTGTAGTCAGTGATCATTTTCCTGCATTTCTACTTGCTAAGACTGTGTTTGCCTCTGTGCAGCTCAATATCACTTCCTCCGAGAGGCCCGCTTTCCTTCTTACTCCAGGGAAAGCTTTTCTTTTCTGTGTTCTCTTAAGGGCTTCTCCATGGAGTACTGTGCTTATGCGTATATCACATGTATCAAATTTCCTCCTTTAAAACAAAAACACTTGCTGGCCATGATGGTGCACATCTTTAATCCTAGCACTTGGGAGACAGAAGCAGGCAGATCTCTGTAAGTTCAAAGTCAGACTGGTCTACAGAGTGAGTTCCAGGTCAGCCAGGACCATATAGAGAAACCCAGACATGCAGGAGAGGTAAAAGCTACGAGTTACACGGCAACATGTAGATGAATAGAAATGGATTAATTTAAGTCATAAGAGCTAGCAGGACAAGCCTAAGCTATCAGCTGAGCTTTTATAAATATGTCTGTTGTTTTTTTTTTTTTTTTGTGAGTTGGCAGCCAGAAGAAAAACCTGTCTACACCCACCCCCACCTTCCCAGTGCTGGCCTTAACTTGAAGGGCTGCTGTGCCCACGTGGCATTTACATGGCTTCTGAGGATCTGAACTTTGGTTCTCAATGCTTGCATGACAAGCACTTTAACTACTAAGTCATCTCCCCAGTTCTAAAGCTTGTTTGAAACTCCCTTTCCAGCTTTGAAATGTATGTCTGCAGGACCTCAGCAACCGTTCAACAGGAGCTGCAACTGCACAGAGACAAAAGGACAGTGGGCCTGGTGAGTCTTAAAAGCTGGGCTTCATGAGGGAAGCTGCAAAACTACAGAAACAATACTAGAGTCAACTGTCTGTATGAAAACAAAATCAGAACACGTGAGTGCCAGACAGCTATGTACACTGCAAGGACTGGTGAGTAAACCAAGACCCTTGATATTTACCTGTACAATATTACATATTCATGCCCTTGTTTTCTGGAGAGTCTATAGGCTGGTGTCACCCTCGTGATAGCGAGAAGAGACTTAAGCAGCAGTGACAGTCTGTTGTATACAGTGTAGGAAACTTTTATTTCTTTATCACACCTGAGGAAGAAAAAGACACTGTTAGCCTATGCTATGGAATGCTTCAACTCTGCAAAACACATTCTAAATTATAGATACACTCAAGAGTTCTATCACTGTGAGGTGGTAGCACACGCTTTTAATCCTAGCACTTGGGAGGCAGAGGCAGGTGGATCAATGTGAGTTTAAGGCCAGAGCTTTACAGAGCAAGTTCTAGGACACCCGGGGATACATAGAAAAACCCTATTTCGAAAAACCGTATTAAAAAAAAAAATGAAGAGCTCTACCAACAAACTGCTGAAGTAAGCCATAGTATGCTTTTTTTTTTCACATTAGACATAGGTAAGCACCAGAAGAACCTACTGTTTGTATCTACTTAAAAAAAAAGTACACTTAGAAACAACCTAATGATATTGCAAATTATACTCAATCAGCTGTTTATTTTTAAGGTTCTGTCTTAGGAGCTATTTAATCCTATATAGAAAATTTGGAGAAAAAAATGTATTTGTTACAAAAATTTTGGATAACCTGTCAGATGCTTTCTATTCAAGAAAAACAAATGTCCATGCCCAACACATGCTCTTTTTAAAAACCCAAGCTTCAGACAGGCGGTGAGCTAATCTGCCTTCAAAGACACAACAGGAGAAAGAGGTAACATTCCAAGCCATCATAGTGTGTACAAAAGAGCAGTACGGGGAGATTTCCCCAGATAGCTGCCCCACAGACTACCATGCAGGAGCTCACAAGGGGGCCTAATCAGAGAACAACAAATCCTTTGCAGCCTTGTTGCTGCTCCTTTCCCAGTTGTGAGTGAGTCGCTCTGAAGGTCATCTCTGTGCCTAGGCTGGAAGCCAAGCATGACGCAAATCATAGCAAAGCCTGCTGGCTCTGCTGCCGGGTCAGAATGTGTCTCTGTGGCTGACAACAAAGCCTGCTTTCACATGATGTCATTGCTTATCCTCAGCTACCACACCAAGGAGCCCAACACAGAAACTTACTTTTCATTCATTTCAAGACACCAAATCTCCAACTCCATGGAATCTCCCTGCAGAGGAGACAGGAGAAATACACTGAATTGTCATCATACAATCATAAGAAATATTGGAGACTACAAATACATAAAAAAGAACAATTTAGAAAGCAGCTTTTCTAAAAGTTGGATCATGCTATATATACTGTTTTTATCTATTTTTTAACAAACATATCATGGAATTTTCCTTCTAACTAAAAATTACAGCCCGGCATTGGTTGTGCATGCCTTTAATCCCAGTACTTGGAAGGCAGAGGCAGGCGGACCTCTGTGAGTTTGAGGTTAACCTGGTCTATGAAGCAGTTCCAGGACAGGCTATCCAAAGCAATACAGAGAAACCCTGTCTCGAAAAACCAAAATAAAATAAAATAAAAATTACAGAAAGGAGGGGGAGACAGAGGGAGAAAGATTGATTGAGAGAGCCTGATTTTTATTTTCTTTTGTGGTACTGGGGATTAGCTCTAGGCTTGGTATTCACTATGAATCTACTACTCAGCTACACTAGCAGAAATCTACACTAGCCACTGTTCATTGCTATACTGTATCCAATGACAGTATTCAGGCATCTGTACTGGCCTGTCCTTGGGGTTATGACAGGATACGCCCTCAGCTGCAGTCACTAAGAGCACCACCTGTGCACATTCACTACAGTCCCTTTTAAACGGGTCCTGCCCACCTCCCATCCTTCTTTGGAGACTGGTCTCCCCCTTCCTTTCCCTTCTTTATCCCTTTCCCTAAAAAAAAACAAAAAAACAAAAAACAAACAAACAAAAAAACCCTCTGCTTGAACCCTGTTGAATGGCGTCTTTCTCTCATGCACCGCTTTTCTTAAATTGCAGTGACTATTATTTTATCTATCCAGGCCTCATATATTTTTTTACATATTTCCAATTTTTCTACCACTACAAGAAAAACTTTTTTCTTTAATTGTATTTATTTATTTAGTGTGGTGGTGGCATTGGTTCTCTTCTACCACACAGTATTCAGGGAACACACTCAGGTCATCAGACTTGGTGACCTCACCTGCTGAGCCATCCTACCAACCCTAGGCTTTGCTTTTTGAGACAGTTTCATGCTCACTTTGGCTGTACATATATTAAAACTGGAACTAAGAGTCTCAATCCGAAAAAAAAAAAAAGCTGATAACATTAGCCTAACCATCACTTTGTGCATTATTCTGAACAAGTGGGTAAGAAAAAACTAAATTCATAATTCCTCAGCTTTATACCATTATTGTGTTCTATGAACACAGGCAACACTTGGGTTTAACCCCCAGCATAGCAAAAAAAATTTTTTAAATAAAAATCCCCAATTCTGCCAGTCGGTGGTGCCAAACACCTTTATTCCAGAACCCGGATAGCAGAGGCAGACAGATCCCCGAGTTTGAGGCCAGCCTGGACTAGAGAGTTAGTGCCAAGACAGTCAGGGCTACACAGAGATACCCTGTTTTGTTCCCCCTGCCCCCCATCTCTAATTCCTTCAAAAAATGATGAGAAATTAATAAAGAAAAGGAACATGAATAAAGCTAAAAATGATCTGGAAGCAGAGGATGATGACCAAGTCCAACATGGTCTTACCTCAGAAGTCTTGAGTGATATCTCCACACACATAGAGCGCCCCACTGCAGGCAGCTGCCCCGAGAGGGCCTTCTTTGCTTCATGTGTGACTTCTGGGATGTCTTTGATTGCTAAATTGAACTAAAAACCAGGAGATTTCTGTGTGAAACCTTCTCAAGGAGCATTATGGGAACACAGAGCAGTGTATGCAGGTATTGCTTTTAGCTGATTAGGAACACTAAGTTGGGCTGGAGAGATGGCTCAAAGAACCCTGACTGGTCTTCCAGAGGACCCAGGTTCAATTCCCAGCATCCACATGGCAGCTCACAACTGTCTGTAACAAGATCTGACACCTTCATGCAGGCAAAACACCAATGCACATAAAATAAAAATAAAAAAAAAGGGAACACCAAGCCATTTCTTCCTTCCCTATGGGGAGCAGCTTGCACCAAAGTCCCAAGTTTTAGGCAAAAAGGATAATTACCAATTACACAGATTAGCTACCAAGATACTATTTTATCTCCTAAGAACTGTATTTTGCCATGTTACAGCAGAAAGTCAAGGTCCAAATAAATAGGGGACTAATTTTTATAAAGAATGCATATACTTTCTATACAAATGGGTCAATTGATTAGCAACTCCATAAGCAGTACACCTTACATGGCAGCAGGACATTTTATATTCATTCCTCTTGACAGACACCACAATATACACAGTCATTAGCAAAGAATAGGAATTTACCCAATCTGAACCCGTTGGGGAAGAAGATGAACGAGTGCAAATCTTTTCACCAAGTCGAGCCTGGACAATTACTTGGACAGTCTGAAAACAAAATGCAAATAAAAATGATTTGGGGGGAGATGAAAAGAAAAAAGAGAGAGAAAAAGAAAATGATTTACCTCCTTATGGGGTTAAAATTCTGCCAAAACAGGGTTAAAATAAGGCTAGCTAATTCTACTAAGTCATAATTCTACCCCAGGGAGGTGCAGAAGCATAAGAGTAGACAGAAAGACAGTGAGCACACAACAATACTCTAAGCATTCCTGAGGGTGGTGTCAGCCAGTAAAAAGCAGTTTGAAACTTATACTGTAGAGTCATCTCACATGGCAGAAGGAAAACTGCACATGGTAGGTAGCCATGATGTTACTAAATATCCACTGACACAAATCTGGGTCATCATGATAGATTTAAAACAAGAACTGCACAATTATACACCCAGCTTTGCTCGTGTGGCTTGTGTCTGTCTTCCAGATCATTTTACCATCAGAATTGTTGGTGTGGCTTGCACAGTAATTGTTGCAAGGAAGGAATGATACAGGTAGAAATGACTTTTAGATTCAGAAAAACATAATATTCAAATTAGAACTGGAATTTTCCACTTACTGTAAAGAGAAGAAATTCATAAAAATTGTTAGCATGGTTAATTTTAATTGTCAATTTTTGCATTAGAAACCTGTCATAAAATAAGCAAAAAATTAAGCTGGGTGGTGGTGACACCCACCTTTAATCCCAACACTTGGGAGGCAGAAATAAAGAGATTTACGAGTTCCAGGCTGGCCTGGTCTACATAGCAAGAACCCTGCCTCAAAAATAAATAAATAAATAAGCAAGTAAGTAAACAAATAGATAAATAAAGCGAGCACAACAAAAAATTATTTACATAGTGTTAGTAAAATATGTCTTTGGGTATGTCTATGATGGTGAATGTGGGTGGAACCATCCCACTCAATGGGCTAGAGTATTAGAGCAAATAAAAAGGGGGAAGGAAGCTGAAGTAGTGAAGAATGCTGGCTGCACAATCATGAGGACAGGAGTTGGATGCCAGGACCCACCACACCAGAGCCAGGTATGCCACAAATGCCTCTAACTCCAGCTCTGAGGGATTCAACATCCTCTTCATTTCCATCTGAGCACAAGTTTATATACACACACACAGAAGAGTGACATTTAAGGACTAGCAAGATGGCTTAGTGAATTAATCATGCACTTGCCAGCAAACCTGGACCCACGTGGTGGAAGGAGAGAACAGATTCCTGCAAGTTGTCCTCTGACCTCCACACAAGTGCTGTAATGTGTGTGCCCCCACCCCCACAGAAAATATATAACAACAATGTGAAACAGTAAAAAGGCGTATGCAGCAGTGCTCACGCATGTAATCCTAACACTTGGAAGGCTGATGTAAGGACTGCCATGGGTTTGAAGTCTGCCTGGGTTACAAAGTGAAACCTTATCTCAAAACAACTGTCAACCAGATGAGCACTGGAATTTTCTTTTCTCTACTTCCTGACCCAGTGTGATGTGAGGAAGCAGCCTCCAGCATTCATAGTGGACTACATCCTCTGAACTGTGAGACAGAACAAACCCTGCTTCCCTTACCTTGTTTCCTGTCAAAAATCTGGTCACGGCAATGAGAAAAGAAACTAATACACTGAGAGTTCTAGTGTTAGTGGAAACTGTGGGAAAGATGCTAAAAGGCTGCCCATTCCAGTTCACAGTCTTTGTTCCCATCCCAAAGGAAAATACTGTGCCAATAACCTGGCATAACAGTTTGACATTTCTACAGATAGCCTTACAAAAGTTTTTTTGAACAAGTAGCTGTGGAAAATTGGAAGCTACTTTTTACTTACACCCCCAATTCCACCCCCACACTTCACAGTTTGGTTTACAACAGACAGAAGTATCCCTGAAAATGGGCAAGCTGCAAGCTGTTATGCTACATTTCCAAGGGAGGCTCTCTAAAGGAGAATCATGGATTATATTTCTAGCTGTTCCCAGCCCAAGAGAATGGACACAATACCTTGAGTGCAAAAAATTTAATAAACTTGTCCAGGTCCTTTCTGTCCTGGGAACTGAGATCAGTTTCCATTGCCTATCGGAACCTGTAAGAGAATAAAAGAAGAGAAGTGATGACAAATGTGACTAATCTTTTTAAAAACAGATCACATCAGAGCACAGACGGGAGCCTACTAGCTGTACAATAGTCACGTGGGAGTGGGAGAGTTTAAATTTCTTTCAGTTAAAGATACCAAAGGAGCTGGGCGTTGGTGGCACATGCCTTTAAAACCAGCACTTGGGAGGCAGAGGCAGAGGCAGGCGGATCTCTGTGAGTTCGAGGCCAGCCTGGTCTACAGAGTGAGTTCCAGGACAGCCTCCTAAACAATACAGAGAAACCCTGTCTTGAGAAAAAAAAAAAAAGATACCAAAGGAGAAAATATTAAAACACTATCTCTTGAAGAAAAGAATCCCACACAAACAGCCATATCTAGGAACCTAGGAAACACTGAGGTCAATTTAACTCACTCTGAAGTTTTGAGTATGATGTGTACGTGAGTGTGGGCACATGCAGACGTCAGAGGACAAACTCTAATCTTCCACTTGCTGTTTGCTGTTGTACTTGTCAGGCTAGTTGGCCTGTGGGCTTCTGGAGATTCTCCAGTCTCCACTGTGACCTTGCTATAGGAGCATTGGGCATGCAGATCTACATGACTATGTCTAGCTTTATATGGGTTCTGGGGATTCAAACTCAAGTTCTCAAACTTGCACAATAAGCACTTCACTATCCTGTACTGAGCACCACCAACAATCACTGAGCCATCACCCTAGCCAGATTCTGAAACTTTGAGCTTTAAATAGAATTTACCTAATTTTAATGAGAAATTTTGTTAACACAAATGAGTTAATCTACATTACTTCAAAAGGTCACTGATCAATCTCATTTTTTAAGGCTCCAGATCTGTTTTGAGAAACTGGTGACTTGAAAAGTTCTTTCTTCAGAATAACAAACTCATATGGGAACACTTAAATCTTGAGGAAGTTCATAAATTTCCAAAGCCCATGGGTGCCTACCCTCTCTTCCATCCTAGAGTGAACTGGTATGAACTAGTTTGAGACGACTAAATAATAAAGAATAAAATATTTGGGGAAAGAAGAGCATGACTGCCATGTTAGTAGCAGAGAGAAAAGATGTTTGTAACTATGAATGGACAGGGAAGTAAAACAGCTATTGCGAAGACCACAGTGGGATGTGCATCTACTGTGCCAAAGACACAGCCTCCTCCAGCCCTCAGGAGTAGCACTTCACCTGAGAGATAATAGTACTGACTGGTATAACCCAGATTGATTCTGCAGAATGAGAAGCAAGGAAACCAGTTAGGTCCTTGGCAAGAATCAAGCTGTGGGCAAGGCTCCAGCTCCAGCACTGCCTGGGGGGAAACAGCCTGTGGAGACACTCTAGAGGCAGAGCTGACTAGAGGCCCACTGTAGAAAGGGCACGCAGTTGTCAGCGCTTACAAGGAGGTAACTGAAAAGCAAATTTGTAAGTTTGTTTTTCAAGACAGAAGGTTTCTCTGTGGCTTTGGAGGCTGTCCTGGAACTATCTCTTGTAGACCAGGCTAGTCTCGAACTCACAGAGATCCGCCTACCTCTGCCTCCCAAGTGCTGGGACTAAAGGCATACACTACCACTGCCTGGCAAATTTAGTAAGATTTAATGAGATTTCATTTTACAACAGTGGTTCCCAACCTTCCTAATTCTTTGACCCTTTAATAGAGTTCCTCGTGTAGCTACTTCATAACTGTAATTTTATGAATCATAATGTAAATATTTGTGTTTTCTGATGGTCTTATATGACTCCTGTAAAAAGGTTGCTCTACCCCTCAAAGGGGTTGATATAGGTTGAGAACCACTGTTTTACAACATACAGAGAAGCCAAAAGGGGAACTGGTTTCAAGAAAATGGGTAAAGAAAGGAGAATGGTCCCTATAGGTTCATGTTTGAATACTTGGCCCCAAGTTGGTAGAACTGTTTGGAAAGAATTCGGAGGTATGGCCTTCTTGGAGGTGTGTATGAGACTTCAAAAGCCCAAGCCATTCCCAGGTAGCTCTTTGCTGCAGACTTGTGAAATCAAGATGTGAACTTTCAGCTGCTGCTCCAGAACCGTGCCTGCTTGCCCACTGCCATGCTCCCCACATGATAGTCATGGACTCAGGCTCTGAAACTGTAAGTTCCAAATTAAACACTTTGTAACTTACCTTGCTCATGGTACTTTATCACAATAATAGAAAAGTATCTAAGACAAAAAGTATTAATAACCACCCCATCAGCAGTTACCTTCCCTGACCATGAAGGCGGGTTAAGGGTGGAACTAAATCTTGAAGGCACCTGAAATCTTCCATGTAATGTATAGGCAGCAGGGGAAAACAGAGACCATCAGTTTGAAGCTAGACTTCATGGCACAGTCATGACTGAAAGTTGTGCAATCACATGAATGAGCAAGAGGATAAAGAGGGCGTGAACTAATGCTAGCAGACTAGGTGAGGAAACAAAAGGGATGGCGGAGGGCTAGAAGCCTTCAGCAATGGGGGCGAGTTGTTTTATAAATAGTTTTATGAAGTCCTACCATACAAGGTAAGGCAGCTGAATTTCTTTATGGGCAGTGTCTCATAGCAGCAAAAGAATAGAGAAAACTTTGCGAGGCCAGAGGACAATGTTAACACAGTTAACACAGTCCAGTGTCTCTCACTGACCTTGAACTCACAATGCAGACTAGGCTGGGTAGCCATCAAGCCCCAGGGATCCACATGGCTGTTTCAGCAGTTCTGACATTACAAGTAGACCTTTTATATCCAGCTATATTTATGTAGGTTCTGGGGATGGGACACTCACCAAGCACTTTAACAACTAAGCAATCTCAGCCCAAGAAAAATGGTCATTTTAGTAGTCTCTCTGGGCTATAAATAAAAACAAAAGGTCAAAGACAGAAACGTTTTGCTTCTTCAGCCTGTTTCTGAAGCCTCATGACCACCATTATTTTTGTAATTCAGGGAATAACAGGTTTATAAGAGCAATCATCCACAGGGCAAGAGACATAGCTCAATAGTTAAGAGCATTTGGTAGGCCAAGCAGTGGTGGTGCATACCTTTAATCCCAGCACTTGGGAGTCAGAGGCTGGCAGATCTCTGTGAGATCTTGAGGCCAGCCTGATCTACAAGAACTAGTACCAGAACAACCTCCAAAGCCACAGGGAAACCCTGTTGGGAGGGGAGGAGCTCCTGCTGGACAGGAATTTGGATTCCCAGCACCAATGTCAGCTGACTGTATCTCTGGCTCCAAATGATTAGAGGCACTCTTCCGGCATCCATGGATATCCCCCACCAGACACATGCACACTCACATAAATTAAAAACAAAACCATCCAAATCCACATAAATGTTAGATGGATTTAACAACATCTGTTTTCCCAGAACAAGCTGGCTAGCTGCACTAGACAAATCGATGGGCTCTGGGTTCAAGTAAGAGATCCTTACTCAAATGGACGGAACTAGAGAACACTATCCTGAGTGAGGTAACCCAAATGCAGAAAGACAAATACAATATATACTCACTCATAAGTGGATATTAGACATAAAGCAAAGGACAACCAGCCTACAGGTCACAACCCCAGAGAACCTAAGTAACAGAGGACCTTAAAAGAGACACACACATGGATCCACCAAGGAAGGGGAAAAAGACAAGATCTCATGAGTAAACTGGTAGTTGTGGGGAGCAGGAATCAGGGATCAGGGTGGAAAGGGAGTGGGGGAAAATGTATAGCTCAATTAAAAAAAAAAGAGAGAGACCCTGCCTCAATACATAAGGTGAAAAGTAATTGAAAACACCTTATATCAAACTCTTTACATACACCTTTACATATACATGTATGCATACACATGTGCTCCCACACATGCACAAAAACATGAAAAAAGAAAAAAGGGATGGGCTGAAGAAATGGCTCAGCAGTTAAGAACACCCGCTGTTCTCCCAGAGGTCCCGGGTTCAGTTCCCAGCACCCACATGGCAGCTTACTGTCAGTAATTCCAGTTACTTGTCTGTAACTTCAGTTCCAGGGGACCTGATACCTTCACAGCAATTCGTATAAAATAAAGTTAAATAAATTATTTTAAAAAAAGAAAAAGGGAAATGCACAAAAATGGCAAAGAAGTAGTTAAAAGCCAAACATGACAGCATGCACCTATGACTTGATAACTTGGAAGGCAAGGCAGAAGGATTGTTTGGAGCCTTGCCTGGGCACTCAATGAGACTATCTCAAAATGAAAGTAAAAGGAAGCCTAGGCATGACTTAGTAGTAGAGGGCTTACTAGCATGTGTGAGGTCCTAGATTTAATTCCTAGTACTAAAACAAAACTGAAGACCACTCTTGTTTGCAGAGAACAAGTTTACAAGTTAAAAAAAAAAAGAACAGCTGGGTATGGTGGCACATATCTTTAATCCCAGCAGTCTGAAGACAGAAGCAGGAGGATCTTTGTGAGTTCAAGGCTAACCTGGTTCACATAGAGAGCTCTATGACAAGGTTTTATAGAGACCCCCGTCTCAAAAAATGACCCCTTTGGAGGTTGAACAACCCATTCACAGGAGTTGCATATTAGTTATCCTGTGTATTAGATATTTTCACTATGATTCTTAACAGTAGCAAAATTACAGCTATGAAGTAACAATGAAAATAATTTTATGGCTGGGGTTACAACATGAGAAATTGTATTAAAGGGTTGAAGCACTAGGAGAGTGGTGAACCAATGCCCTAAAGACTCTTAACAAAGAAACCATTAGATTTAAATTTTTAATCCAGTAAAATTTCATGATGTAAATCAAAATACAAAAATCAATAGCCTTTTATAAGCCAACAGCAAACTATATAAATAGGAAAAGAGAATATCCCCTATATACAGCTATAAAAAGGCTATTATGAATTAATTTAATCAAAGTAGTGAAAGATTTTAGCACTGAAATTTATTAAACAATCAAAATGGAATCAAGAGACATAAGTAAGTAGATATTCTGTGTTCATGGAGTAGAATCTTAAAACTGTCTTACTCGCTGGATG